TAAACACTGAATGTGTGTTAGTGATCCTAATCTTTCGCTCTCAAAATCTAAAACCATGGACCAGATGTGGTTAAAACTCATATTCCAATAATAATTTGCTTAATTCTTAATAGTTATCCAATGATATTTGCATAATCACATATTTAGGAGCTCATCTGGGAATGAGAATATTCTGGGGGAAAAAAGTCAAAGAAAATCATGTAATACCACTTTTTCACCGCAGTAAAAACAGCTCCAAGGTTACTTTTCTACAATCATTACACTCTCACTCTCAGGCTAATCTCGCTAGTTATACATTCTCCTCAAACCCTATTCACTCTTCCTCTCTCTCTACTCTACTGTCATCTCTCTCTCTCTCTATTGACCAAACCCTAACGCCACCACCATCATGGCTTCCCGGAGGCTAATTGCCTCACTCCTCCGTTCCTCCACGTCCTCTCTCCGTCGTACATCCTCTTCATTCACTTCCGCCGCCAAATCCTCCACAAGACCTTCCCCGGCCGGCTTTTTACTTAACCGGGCCGCCCACTACGCTACCTCCGCTGCTGCCTCGTCGAGTGCTTCCGCTCCTTCCACTAAGCCGGCCGGCGGAACTGGTGGGAAGATAACTGATGATTTTACTGGAAGAGGTGCTATTGGGCAAGTTTGTCAGGTGATCGGTGCCGTCGTTGATGTTAGATTCCAGGATGGATTGCCTCCGATCTTGACGGCGTTGGAGGTGCTCGATAATCAGATCCGGCTCGTGCTTGAGGTGGCTCAGCATCTCGGGGAGAATGTTGTTAGGTGTATTGCTATGGATGGTACTGAAGGTCTTGTTCGTGGCCAGGCCGTGCTCAACACGGGCTCTCCTATTACTGTGAGTGATGGATTTATTGAGAAAAAGACTTGATTTTTGAAGATGTTTTATGGGTTCGTTTTTGAAAATGGGGTTAGTTTCGAGGGGTTTTTGGGTTGTTTTATTGTGAGATCTGGAAATCTTGGGTTGGGAATTGAATCCTCTTAGAAGGTTTGGGTGGATTTTGGGGTAGGATCTGTACATTTTGCTTTGGATAATGTGAGGATGTATGGTATGTGCAATGAAACGATTTGTTAAGTTACTGGAGATATGTGAAATGGTCTCAATTGGTGGCTGAACCTTGAACCCAAATCAATCAGTTGACGGTCCTTGAAAGCTGGAAAAAATTAGATTGTATTGGACGACGGTCATATGATTGGTGAATAGAGTTGTTACCTTATGCTTGTAGTGGATAGTAGTAGATATAATATGGATAATGGAAGATGAAAGGTCATATTTGAAAAGTCCTTAAAATTGTTTTGACGTGTGAGAGGGGTTTTGTGGGAAAGGAAAGGAATTTAGGGGCATTGCAAATCTTGTTTTGTTGTTTGGGACCTTTTTCTAAGTATTTGCTGCTGGTTAGTTATAAAGTCAGAATCTTGAGCTATTGAACTAACTAATTCTTATTCATAACGGAAATAGGTGCATTGTTTTGTTCATTTTAATGGGTTTTATGTCTGCAGTTTCTTCTGGGGTATATCCTTACTATAGTTCTTCGAGGTGTGATGTGCTTTAAGTGGTGATCATACCATTTTGATTCACAAGTTCCTTCTACTGGTAGGTGCCTGTTGGTAGAGCTACTCTTGGACGAATCATAAATGTTATCGGAGAACCTATTGATGAGAGAGGCGAAATCAGTAAGTAAACTTTTTGCCATTGCATGATGTGAATTGCAGCTTGTTTCCTAGAAGGGGTTGTGTCTTACAAATCAACTGATACTTGTGCAGAAACTGAACACTATTTGCCAATCCATCGCGAGGCTCCAGCCTTTGTTGAGCAGTCGACTGAACAAGAAATTCTTGTTACTGGAATTAAGGTAATGTCACAATGACAATTTTTCATACCTAAGCCTATCCTATATCCTTAGAAAATGTAATTTCATTTGCTCTATTCGATTAACTGTCAAGTCTGTGTAAGTTTGAGAGGTATAACGAGTTTACCCTCTTTTAAATATTCTTTCAGGTGGTTGATCTGCTTGCACCATACCAAAGGGGAGGCAAGATTGGATTGTTTGGTGGTGCTGGAGTAGGAAAAACTGTGCTTATCATGGAACTGATCAACAATGTTGCAAAAGCCCATGGTTGGTTGTTTTAGGAGATATTCTGGCTTCAGTGGTTAATTTTCTAGTTTTCTTAGTTTAACATTTGCATTGTGCTCTTTTTCCTTGTCCAGGTGGTTTTTCTGTCTTTGCTGGTGTAGGAGAAAGAACTCGAGAAGGTAATGATCTATATAGGGAAATGATGGAGAGTGGTGTTATTAAGCTTGGTGATAAGCAGGTAAATACATTAGTATTATTTGTAGACTAGTATTTTTTAATCAGGTTATCAACCCTGTTTATCAATGTGTCGATGTTTTGATGAATGTCTAGGCTGAAAGCAAATGTGCGCTTGTCTATGGTCAAATGAATGAGCCCCCGGGTGCTCGTGCTCGTGTTGGATTGACAGGTTTGACTGTGGCTGAGCACTTCAGAGATGCTGAAGGGCAGGATGTGCTTCTCTTCATTGATAATATTTTCCGTTTTACCCAGGTGGGTGCACCTGTGTAATGGAATTTTCGTGCTAGTTTTTGCTGCTTGGCCCTTATTGACTAAGTCTATATTCTGCCTTTAAGAGAAATACATGATCATGCTTGTAATTCATGTCATTTTCCTGTCCTTCTCCTGAATACTTTCAACTTAACTTTGTATATCTTCAGGCCAACTCTGAAGTGTCTGCTTTGTTGGGTCGTATCCCTTCTGCTGTCGGTTATCAACCAACTTTGGCTACAGATCTTGGAGGCCTTCAAGAGCGTATCACAACCACAAGAAAAGGCTCCATTACTTCTGTCCAAGCTATTTATGTGCCTGCTGATGACTTGACAGATCCTGCGCCTGCTACTACATTTGCTCACTTAGATGCCACAACTGTCTTGTCTCGACAGGTAATTGGACTTTTTAAGTCTTAAAAGTTTTCAGACCACATGAAAATTTACATTTATTGATGATTTAATGTTTGGTCCAGATCTCTGAGCTTGGTATCTATCCTGCTGTTGACCCACTTGATTCCACATCACGTATGCTCTCTCCACACATTTTGGGAGAGGATCACTACAACACTGCTCGTGGAGTACAGAGGGTCCTTCAGAACTACAAGAATTTGCAAGATATCATTGCCATTCTTGGAATGGATGAGCTCAGTGAAGATGACAAATTGACAGTTGCCCGTGCACGTAAAATGATGCGGTTCTTGAGTCAGCCTTTCCATGTTGCTGAAGTTTTCACGGGTGCCCCTGGAAAATATGTTGAGTTGAAGGAGAGCATTGCCAGTTTCCAGGTAAATATCGTTTCATTTTAGCCCATGTATGGTCTGCACTACATTTGCCACTGTCCCTTTCCACCTGAATGTTTCGGTTTTTTGAACTTATAGATATGCCATGTGGTGTCCTGGGAATCTCAGGTTGGATTAACAGAACCTGGGAGTAGCTTTTTACTTCAGTTTCTTTATTTGATTTAGAATATTCTTCTGATTGCAATGCTATGTCTTAACTCCTATATAAACTTTTGATGGTACAATGACCCATGTTTTTAACTGACAATGTCAAAGCATGAATTTCTTTGGTGCTAATTGTGAAAGCTTTTCTTTTGAATCCTAGTTTTCTTGAACTATGTGAAATTTAGAAACATTGGGTTTCTGCTTCAGCTATCCAATTGCAGATGTAATTGCACATTATGCTGCAATGGTATAGCTTCAGTCTGAAATTTGATTGGTCTAAGAACAATCATTTGCATCATTTTACTTTCCATTATGACTCCTCTGGCTATTTTGACTCTTCCTATTTATTCAGAGAATTCAAATGATATGCTGATGTTTTTCTGTTTGTTGATTTCTACAGGGTGTTTTGGATGGAACCTACGATGATCTTCCAGAACAGTCATTCTACATGGTTGGTGGCATTGACGAGGTCATTGCTAAAGCTGAGAAGATTGCCAAGGAATCTGCAGCATAAGGAATTTTAGTGACTTTTATTTTTTTTTACCCTTTTTAACTGATGATTCTGAAAATCAATAATTTAAATTTCTGGCTTTGGCCAAGATCAGGAGTTATATTTTGAGGTTTTTGGGGAACTGAGGAGTCCAGGTTTTTCTGTTTCTGTTTTATATATCAACTGAAGGTGTGGGATTGTGACGGACATGGAGCCGGAGAGTGCAAGGCCCCCCCTGCGAAAGCCCCCTTATGCCTTGTCTTGTCATACAATAAGGGCGGTGGCGGACATGTATATTTTGCCTCTGAATTTAATGTTAGAAACACTAGAGCAGCAGCCATGGAATTTTCTGAATCACTTTCTTCCCCTTTTCCTGAATCTTGTGTACTCGAAGCGGGAGTGAAAATTATGAAATTTTTATCTGCAAAGAACTAGGCTCAATGATCTGATCCATCTTTCCAGCACAAAATTATTCTGTGTCATTAGCTTTTTGACATGCGGGCTGTTGCTTTACCTCGTATTTGTCAAAATTTTGAGCAAATGGGGTGTGCAAATGATCCGATTTAAAACAACCTTTAATGATCCGCTGTTACATTTGTATCTTACAGCCGAGGCATGAAACTGTCACGGAAACCTGAATTGGAACAAACTTTAATGATCTGCTGTTAGAACAAATATCAACCATGGACGAAATAGCTGTGAAGTAACTGTTCCTGTATTGACTGCATTTGAAGCTATCCTATAATATGTGTTGCTGATGTTTTTGAAATGATGTTGCACTTTTAATCAAATTTTTGTATGGAAATGTTTTCTTCTTTATCCAGTATAATATAAAAAGGCCAAGACGTTTCACTTCTAATCAATCTTTATCACAAAATATAAGTGTTTGACAATCTCCTCCTCGGATCAGGTAAACTTCCAACGTAGGTTGTAATTCTCTGTTTCCGTGCTTCATTTTACTGATCTGTCTGTGCTTATTTTTACGCTTCTAGTTCTGGCGTCTGCATTTGGTATCTCCTGCAAAATTGGAGCAACTGGTAGGGCCCGCTACTTATCAAGAAATGCCACGTGGAAGCTCCCAATTACTCCGGCGCATCGCGCTCGCGGCGTATTTTGACCCACAGCCCACAGGCCAGTTCCCTTCTCCCCAGTCCACCACCCTTTGCGGCGGCGGAGCTTACTAGTCTCCTCCACGACCAACTCAAACAGCAAACTAAAGTGCTTACTATTCTTTTTACCTTAAAAACCAGAAAAAATGTCCATAATCACTCTTTCCCCAACTCCAACCCCGCGTCTTCCTCGCATAAGTTCCCATGCACCCTGCCGTAGTCAATCATTTCCCATGACCACCCTCCTCAGACCAAAACCCCAACCCCTCCTTTTCCACCTTTTCCGCCGCCAACTCTCCGTTTCCGCCGCCGCCGCCGTCCGGCAAGACACTACCGCTTGGACCTCTGCGCCTCTTCTCACCGTCTCCCCCGCCGCCGATTTGCTCTTCCACGTCACTGTCGACGTCTCCGATTCTCCTGACCTCGCCGCTTCTTATACCAAGGCTGGCCAGTATCTCCAGCTTAAAGTCCCCGTCTCCGAGAAACCGTCTTTTCTCGCCATTGCTTCGCCACCGTCCTTGGCCGCTGCTAAAGGTGTTTTTGAATTCCTAGTTAAAAGCGTCGCCGGCTCTACCGCTGAGCTCCTATGTGGACTCCAAAAAGGTGATGTGGTGGAGTTGACTCCGGCCATGGGGAAAGGTTTCGAAATTGATCAAATTTCTCCGCCACAGGATTACCAGACGGTGCTTATTTTCGCTACTGGATCTGGAATCAGGTAATATTAGAGATTCTCTAAAAAAATTTCCAATTCCTGATTTCATATTATGGTAAAAATTGGGAAAAACAGATAAAATCACTATTTAAATTTTTATATCTACGGTAAATTCAGAAAGTTTGAATTTGGAGCTGTAAGTTTATTGGAAGAAACATCACCATGCACGGTGCAGTTCCTAATTAGTTAGTATGATCTCAATTGGAAAGAACAAAGCTTGGCCTGTTTATTAAAAAAAAAAAATGCTTCGCCTGTCTATAGTCTTCTCTGCCTTTGTGAGATATTTTTTGATGTGAGCTTTGGACGCACTGTTATTTACTTCACAATAGGGATTAGGGAATTTGAAGATTCTTAGACTCCCAGTTAATCAGGAAAAACCTTTTTCCATTTTTTATTGGGCTGCAAGAATCCTGTTAATTCAGTTATAATTGTCAAAGGCCTGGGTTTGCTTTTTGTTGGCTAGGAGAAGAAAGATGCTGAATTGTGTCAAACATTTTGGTTGGGTTGGTTAGCAGAGAGCTAGGGATAACATGATGGGGTAAAAATAGTCAGGCTGCAGGCTTCGGTTGTGAAGAAAGAAAAGGAGTTGAAGTGATTCCAATGCTTTTGAGTGCTTGGCATGTTACTTTAGTATAAGAGTAAACAGCTAATTTCAACATTTGGAAAGAAAATCAGATACTGGATTTTGTATTTGTTTCTTTTTGCTTTGTCTGCACATGCTTCTCATGCCCAACAGATTTAGGAACACGTTCTTATCATGGATGTGATGAACAAATATAATCTGACTTGTGAAGATGGAGAGATTATTGTAGAAGTTTGAGACCCAGAAAAAACCCAAAAAAAGAAGGTTGATTTAAAAAGTAAACTTGTTTAAGCACTTGACTGGAATTACTGCCTTACAATTAAGAAGATGAAAATTCTCTTCTTCTAGGTAACTGGCGTGCCAGAAGTGTAAACTATGGCCACTTAGATATTTCTTGATTTGCATTAAGTAGGCATCTTCTTCCATTTGCATTAAGAAAGCAAACTAAGGATCTCTGATCTTGTTTCTTGTAGGAGGTTACTTCTCTTCTTGTCGCTGATGGAGTCTCCGCAGAGAAGATCTTAAAGAACTTCTGATAATAAATTTTTGTGGGCTGTATTTGTTGTATTATTTTTACCTAGTGGTCAGTACTATCCATTCATTTTATCTTGCTGAGTATAAATGACTCAGCATTTGAATTTTGATCGCAAAATGACTCCACTATTTGCAATTTTGAGAGTGTACGGGTTGCAACAGCTAATTAGCACTGCCTTCACTGAGTACAACTCCTATCAGTGGTTCAGCTTTAAGGTGAACGTGGCAGTCTTGATTAAGAGTTAGGCATTCTAGAGGTTTAAGGAGCAGAAGTAAGTGGGCAAAAGCATCGATGCCTTAGTTATGATACACTAAATTTTGTATTAATACTTGACGTGCACCATTACGTGCTTCCTTATCAATTGCTGTAGTTCGATATGTATTCTTCAGAGAATAATGTCTGGATTTGTTATACGCCAGCCTGTTTCTTCTCAGTGCCCACTTTGGCCAAGACCCAACAGTTAGTGTGTAGTTACTGTTACGCTTCTAGGATGCTTTCTAGTGAGTGATTACTTTCATGTATTTTATAGCTTTTAACTATTGGTCCGTCTCTGAGTTCAAAAAAAAAAAAACTATTGGTCCGTCTCTTGATACCCTTCAAAATTCATACCTCCTCAACCACACTGCAACGAACCTGGTGGGGTTTGCAATTAGTAATTAATTTTATGCTCAAACATCCCAGACCTGTATGGAGGTTTAGCTAATTCATGTCACGTTGATCACGGAATACGAAAGAAATTTGTATCATTTGAGATTTTATTAAACATGAATGAATAAAGATTTTGAACATGTTAAGAAATGTAGGCCTGATCAATGAAGATACAAGGCATGCCAACCAAACAGCAACTAGACATTCGCATGAGATGGTTGATTGTTCAATCTAAACGCATCCATTACAGTTTGTTAAAATAAATGTTCCACACAGCAAAGAGAGGGAATAAATTGCTGATAAGCTGTTACATATTTATACGGAATCAGTAAATTCAAATGTCAATCAGAAAGGTTTTTGCTGCAGCAGTTCAACATATAATCTTTGACAAATTCCAGATTCCAAGCCTCCAGCAACACCAACCAGAAAACCCTAAGTTACCTACACAGAAACAGCGCACATGAATCCATTGGAAGGCACACTCGGACCATTAAGCAGTTTGCTGTTCAACAGCTTTATCATGGCTATTGTCCATATTTGCCTCTCGCAGAGTATTTTTTCCATTTGATTCTGTTGCTTTCCCAGCCTGCTGATCATTGAGTGGCGTTTCGTCAGAGTGGATGCGATTGTGATTGTTATGATGATGATGGTGGTGGTGACGACCATGTCCATGATGATGCTTTTTCTGCTTTTCTACTTTACCAAAATCGTCATCAGATGACTTCCCTAGAGATCTACTCCCGTCACGACGATGATCTTCAGAATCTGAGGACACCGAGTCATGAGTACGGGTTCCACGATGATGCTTATGGTGTTTCGCATGACGGCTCCTCTTTGGAGTGTCATCATCGCTTGATGAATCTGAATCACTTGAACCTGATCGTCTAGAACGTTTGTGGTGCCTTGCACGGTTTCTCTTTCTGCCTGGATAGTCATCGTCAGATGCAGATTCTGAATCACTAGAATGAGATCTCCGATGGCGCTTGTGACTCTTTATGCGATTTCTTCTTCTCATATCAATGTCACTTTCATCATCAGAGTAATCAGCACCAGAAGAATCTGATCTTGAATCATGATGCCTTCGCCTTTTCTGCCTCTGCTTCTTTCTCCTCCTCTCTTCTTGTGAATCAGTATCACATCCACTGCTATCATCACCAGAGTCAGAGGATCTCCTTTTCGACTTATGTCTGGATTTCTTATCCCTCCTCTTCTCATTATCGCCTGAGTCAGAGTGATTATGCTTCCTATGCTTCCTGTGGGGCCTTTTAGCTGACTTCCTTTCATCACTGCTGCTGTCACTGCTACAATCACTTTCAGAACCTGGTACAGATCTTTTCTTGTGCTTAGTGGCCTTCATCTTTCTCTCCTTTTCAGCATCAGCTCTAGCCTTGGCTGCAGCTTCCAATTTTTGCTCCCATTTCAAAGGGGCTTCTTTCCTCTCCATCATCCGCTTCTTCTTCTCCTCGACCAGCTGGATAAACTTCTTGGCATCCATTTTGATATAAAATACAACTGAATACCTGCATTTTGGTATGAGATGATGACCAGAAGTACATCTCAAAAAGAGAAAGAAACAATGTTAGTTCCTCCACCAGGAAATCAGTCAAGAAAGAGATGATCAACAACAACTAGCATGAGAAGCAAATTTATAGATATCTTTGATTGTTTCAGAAAAGACAAATGGAAGTACAACATAGCAAAGCCGTATGTTTCTCTGGCAGATATATGATAGATATCTTTGATTGTTTTTATGTCTTTCTCCCCTCAAAGAAACTCTACAATCGAAGACTAGTTTCTGCACAGTGAAAGTTATTTTACTGGTTTAAGCAATTAGTAAGCTGTCCATGTGCAAACTTCTTCTTACACAACCTTTTAGGTGTTTTTGGAAGCAAACAGAGAATTCTCTTTTCAGCACACAAGATTTGAGTGATTCTGAACCATCTAAGATGGAAAATTGGAGGCTAAAAGTGGAACGCGTGGTGAAGTGAAGGTGCAGAAATCTAGAAGGCAAAATTGGTATAAAAATTACAATGTTTTCTCGGCACAAAGGAAGAACGCCCTTTGTAGGAGCAAAATGAGGTAGTTAAATACATTTTGAACAGCTCAGATATTAAGAAAAAACTTCTTTCAATGTATATTGCAAAGAAAATCTAAACAGAGCACTAAGAAAAACATAATTAAGAAAGAAACAAGAAAACCTTTCAACTGAAGCACGTCAAGGTGGGGTTAAAAGACACTATAAGACATAATCATTTCTGGAGAGCACACAACAAATAATTCATACAGATTGTATACTCAGTCGCCTAAACATGTCATTCGCAAATTATGAGGCTGGTTTCCTGGCAGATTGTTCGGCAACTTAATTCACACCCTAAAAAGCTGCAGGGTCCACCATAATTGATAAAGAGACTGGTGAGCTCATTCAGAAAAAAGACTTTCATTGTTTTTCTTAGAAAGCTTTAATAGTCTTATTAGCGACAGGAATTGGAGGGTTACAACAGAAACCAATTCAACGTATATTCCAACACAACATTGGTTGAAAGCATTTGTACATAATTTAAGCCAAATATTTAATCATCAATGTTATTGGTATTAAACAAGTATCAACCACATGAAGTCCTACACTTTTGTTGACTGTATCTTACACAAGAAAATAAGAGATTCTCTATAACAATCATCTGAGACACATGAAAATAAGAGATTCTCTTTAACAAACATTTCCCAGGTTCAAAATTTACATAGGGCATGACAACTGCAGCAATTGATTTGCTTCATTGGCACCAAAAAAACTACAGTTTTTTTTTAACATTCATAGAGAATTTCATGAAATTTGGCAGAAAGTAATACAAATCCAGCTTCTCAGTAATAAACAAAATACTACACATGCAGAGAAATTATATAAACATGACAAAAGAATGCAAAGAAAGAGACTGTACAAATCCGAGTCGGGTTTCTTACCTTATAACAATATAATACTATAAGAAAGTCACAATCTTGAATGCCCAACTAAAATTTGTCTCTTCACTTCCAATCCTTTTTTCCAAGAAGTCTGCAGCCAATCCATAATTCACATGAAGCTTTATATCTCAGCAACTAATTTTCACAAATTTAAAAAAAAAAAAAAAAGATTTTGAACCGGATACTAAGTACTGTACTTCAGCCACGATTAAATCTAACAACCAAAAAGGAAACATAATAACCACCTTCGAAAATTTAATTCACCTAGCTATAAATATTTCCAGCCTTGTTACTTTTC